TGCCTTCTCCTTATTTGTTTACAGATCAATTGCTTTTGTGTATTGTTTATGCTTATTATATTAAACAATATAATAAGCATAAACAATACACAAAAGATTTAGCTGCAAATATCACAGAATGCATGGCATATTCAACTCAATGAAAACAACGTCACTGAAGATAAATGACATAATTAAGTTTTGAACTCTGAGTACTTCAGAAGGGATGATGATGGATTGCTTGATATATAACAAAGCACTAAAGGATATGTGCTTAAGGAACAGAATGCCGTTATGGAGAACTAAGGGAAACAAACTCATATCCTTCTTATTACAGATGAGGAAAACCATGAGAACTTCCATACAGTCAGCAGATTCACAAGGATTTGAACTCTGGTTAAAACTATCAGTGCCCAGCAGTCTTAATGCTCGGTCACTGATGAGCAAAAGGTTGATGAAGCAGAAGATTAAAGGAATGAGAATATAATTTCCTAGCCCAAACTTGCTTGGACAGTTAGAGTGAACTCTATGGCCATTATGTATTGAAAACATCAAACAAAAAAATCATAAACTGTGAAGAAAAGCCATGGCATAAAAGGAAAACACAAAAATAAAAACATAAAAAATACAGGATATAAATACAAAAATAATTATTATAACAAGATTAAAAGTTATCCCTTTTATAAAGCCCTATATGTATTTTTTGTTTATGATAGCTTGCACAGAAAAATGGAAAGTAGCCTCTACAGTCTAAATGCATAACCATGAGTTTTAAAATTGTTTGTTTTGACATTTTCTATCACTTATTCTATTAGTTTTGAAACTCCTTGTATTTAATGCAATTTAGCTAAAATGTACAATAGATAATATTTCAATTTACTTAGCTTACAATAAGAATCTCAGTAATGCATTTAACATGACATTAACAGAATATCTACAATCCAAATAAATATAAATTAGAAAAATAAAATAATAATCTTATTTTAAGAAAAGTAACATGACTTTTACAGCTGTATCTGACTCTTGATTTCATTTCATTAAAAGGTTTTGAATTTTTAAAAAAAAATTAAATGATATTTTTTACAGTCCGCAGATTACCTGAGATTGAGAATTTGATGTGTCTGTAGCGATTGATGTAGATGATGATGCTGATGGAGAACTTTGTTTGCTACCTAACAATTCATTAATAGCTTCAGGTGAATCAGTCTTAGGATTGCTGCTTTTTCTTAAATTCATAAGATTAGATTTCCCTAAAAAATTACAAAATGATTACGAATTAGATTAAATATCCATAAATAGTAATATACTAACTGTGGATACTTAAGTGTAATTAATACTTTATTATTTCATGATATTTAATACTTTGTACCACGTTTGTTCTTTAAAAAACATAAAATTATACAGGAACAATATATACAACTCTTTATTATTCCCACTGGTGTTATTAGTTTTAGTAGTACTTTCATATAATCCCATCAACTATGAAAGTTGATTATCATTGAACCATGAATGATCCCACCAAAGCTGCATCAATCGTTCTTGAAGAATACTGAGTCACATTTCTACCTGTAACTCTTGCAATAAAATATTCATCACTCTCTCAGACCAACCCACCAAACAGCCATTGTTGCAGAAGTATTCAACCTGCATAATTTCCATGCTTCATTATAAAAAAAATAATAAATAAATAAATAAAAAAAATACGTCGATTTCTGAGTATTGTTAGGCTCTTCAATTTTACTAGTAGCTCTGTTTAGAATGCTATGAATACAAACTTTCTGCAGAGATGATTGTTCCAATCTATTACTGTTTCGTTGACCATTTGTTCAACAGATATTAATTCTCTCAACAGCTCGAAACGAACTAGATGCAATTACAAAAGTGATTCTACAATCCCCAGACTGTCTGCCGCATGTTTTTCAAAATGTAAGAAATAAATACAGCAATAGCAGTTAATTTATACCCTCACATATAAAAACAAAAGGCAGCTTATGGACAATCAGTTAGGGTTACATGAAGCAAAAGTGCAGATGTTATGATGAGAAAGCTTAATAGTCTAAATGAGTGTGTTGTGATATAATTGCACATCCATAATTGGTGCCAAAACATATTGCTTGGCAATTGTTCTACAGTCAATGAGAGAGGATGTTATGCACCATCTCAGTTAGATTTTTGTGACTACAAAGCCACCGGTTAGATTTTTGTGAGTCTATCTCTTAAAAGTAATTTTGAAGTGCATTCTTGCACTCATTTTATTTTTCAGATTTTGATTTGTATTCTAGTCTACGTTTAGTTATCGCAGCAAGTGAATGGTGTTTTTGTAAAGCACGAAGTCCGTGCTGTCTGTTATTTTTTAGTTTGAGTTAATAAAGGGTTATTTTGGCCCCTTCTTCTGTGTTGGTATTTATGTGAGAATTCGCCAGGTTCATTGTAGGATCTAAATCAGTGTACATGGAAAAGTAGAGATAGATCTTACAGAAAGACTAACTACGTAATTTTACCACATAACCATTCCACTGCCATTTGTTTCTTGAAAATAAAATTTTAAATGTGAACTATCTAAAAATCAAAACAACAAAAAATCAAGTTCAGGACAAGTAAATATTTTGGCATTTACCAAAGTATCGCACTTTCTTAAGTAATTTCAATGTCTGATAATCATGACATATCCATGCCCCAATGACGTTGAAAAGTTAAACAGTTCAATTTGATTATTTTTAATATTCTACAATAATATTATTAATAGATTTCTTTTAACTTTAAAAATGCATTGCATGAATTCTTATTATTTTACCGAGCAAATATAATAGAATTTTAGGTAAAGATACATTTAGAAAAATAATTTAATAATGCGTAAAAAAATTATAAAGTTTTACCTACCAGATTTTTTTTTTAAATCGGGATGACAACAAAAAAAAAAGCTCTCTAAACCCCAAGAGGCAAAATTTTGGAAAGATGCTGGAAACTTGCTTTCTTTTCTGAAAGAAAATCTGATTGGCACTGCGAAAACTGGCTTTACACCAGCTGCCGGAATGATGTTCATGCAATACATGATTCACTGAAAAAGTGACCTGCTTCCAACATTGATGCAAAAATTGCTTTTTTGGAACTGCCATACGAAATTCCCCTGACTTTCCCCTATTTCGGCTAAAATATTTAAATTCGCTGATTTTTCCCTGACATTTTTTGGTTAATTTTTGAATTAGCTGGTTTTTTTTTTTTTTTTTTTTTTTTTTTTCAAGGTAGCATGGCAACACTGTCACAAATAACAATTTAAGAAATCTAACTTTATAATGTTTTTACACTTCCTCTGTTTCAAAGGCTGCTCAATTTTTATTATCAAAATCACTTCAAAAATGTACATTTTTTAATGACATATTTCAAATCTACATGTAGTTGAGAGTTATATTAATTTCAATTTAAACATAATGTAATTTCATTAATACTAATACAATTAAACCACAAAAAACTCAGTTACATCACTTGCCTAGTCTTCTCAACTGATGAAAATGAAACATAGCACTAATATAACAACTGATGCAAACCAGAGAAATTCAAAACTTTCAAATATTTAAGTTCGAAACAAGTTTTTGTTAAAATTGTGAAAAGCCAGCAAGTTAACTTCAGCATGAAACTTCCAAAACTAATGCAGCATGTAATTTTGAGGCTGTTTATTTTTTTTAGACTTTATTTAATTATTAATTTTGAGACTGCATGCTTTCTGTAGGCAAAGGAATATCAACTCATGAAATCTGCATTAAATTATTCATTATATTCATGACAAGCAGATTTTGGTTAAAACTACTGCCGAGACTCTACGCATATAGAGAGATAGATCTGTAAAATTAATAATTCCCAATCAATCAATACTTGGTCTCCATGAAATTCAATTTTTAATTTCCCTGATTCTCTATAAGCAAATGGAACAATATCCCTGACCAAATATAATAAACTAAATAGTTATTATATTAAGTAGGATTAAGTAGGAATAATTTAATAATTTTATGTATTTAAACAAAATTCTAAATAACAATGAACATTTTAAAAATTTTATTTATCTTATTATTATGAAGTGAAAGTAAGAAATATATATTAAAATACACACTTAAATCATTCAAAAAATGTATGTAAGGTTTAGAAAAAATTACAGGCTATAGAACAATGGGTCATGCTGCAAAAGAAAATAATGCATGATTCATACTCTTCTGATATTTCAAAATAAAAATGCACTCAATATCACAGAATTAATAAAAACATTTAATTAATATGGTTATTTATTACAATGTAACCACACAATGTTAGAAGTCCCTAATTGTTTTTTTGGGGGTAGGAAAATTATATTTTTGATGAGATAGACAAAAGTTATACTCTTAAATAGAAAAGAAAACATGCATGTGGACAAGAAAATTAATGGTTGATAAAATGATAACATTGTATCAGATATGAGATAAGTAAAATAATTTCTGCAGTAAAAATAAAGATTACTTTAACTCTTCGTTTGCTCTCTTATAAGAGGGTCAATTTCGTTTATTGCATACTACTTAAAACTTAACAAAGATACTTAATCTATATTTCCTTTCAATTGGGAAAAGTACTTCCCCCCCCCCAGATTTTCCTCGATCCTTTTTCATTTCCTTGACTTTCCAGTTGGGTGAGAGACCATAATAATAAGCATAAGTTATATGCCAAATAGGACTGAAATATATTTAAATGTCACTAAGAAACGAAAACAGACAAATGCTTCCAAGTCAGTTTTACAAGATTTGCAGAATAACATTTTAGTATAATTCATTAAAGATCATGAAGAATGGTACCATTAAGGTGATCTGGAGATCAAACAACAGTCCATGCAGTGATGGCATTCAGTTTTCCACAGCCAAAAAATTTAAGACACAAAAAAAGGAGCATAAAAGTTCATGGTCATCATACACTAAGATATGGAAATTATTTTCATGATTCAATGCCCCTATAATTTATTAGAATAATTCATAATTGTTGATTCATCAACAGTGATTTTGGCATTCAGATTTTCCATGCCCACAGAAATTCAAAATCAAAAAAGCAGTTTTCATATCAAAAAGTCATAATAATTTTAAGATATGGAAGTCATTTTCATGATTCACTATTGAAAACTGAATAGTTATTATAGAATACTGCTGTACTAATTCAACAGACACTGACTGTTAGTTCTCAAGGTTTCTGTGGCTCGAATTTCGGAGAAAGTATAGATGTTTGCAAGTGGATAGCCTCCGTGCAACATGAGGGCACTCAAAGTACAAACCAAGCTGGCTAAAAGTGCTCTTATGTGGTAAGGGAATAGTTCCCAACCACACTAGGCGATCTCAAATTGTCTCCCCCACCTCTCCAGTGTTCTCTACAAAAATTGGAACACAGCTCAGCAGTTAGTGCATTCGGATTACACTTGTAAGACCAGAAGAAAATTTCTAGTGTCCCATTCGACTTATACTTGCACTAATTTGGCATGCAAAAAAAAAATCTTAGCGGAAGCTGAATAAATATGCGTGCTTTCTTGCAGAATAAATTACCTCACCATTAGACTGGCAAGATAGTGAATATTTTTCAAACACTTGGGGTTTAAATGCATACACAAGAAACTCTGCTCAACTGATTTCATTCCATCATAATATTACATGTTCACAAACATTAAAAAATGCACAAAAGAGAGTATATTTTATTATTTCTGCTTTAATACTTCTCCAGAAAGGTGCTAAATTTTTCACCAGATAGTCTGCATTGTAATCATTATTTAATACTGAAAATAGCCTCTTGTTTACCATAATGGTAGGGGGCTCTCTGCGACAGCATTGGCCCCAGGTTCAAATTGTACAGAAAGCTTGGATGTTTGCAAATATGTAACATCTTTGTGCTATGGAACACTTGATTAATCCCCTCAATAATCTCCTCACCAAAAATCCCCTCAAGAAGTCATAGTAAGAGAAGAGCTATAAGAGATCCTGGGATCCATCCCCTGGAGGTATCCCACTAGGATGGATCTGAGCAAATTCATACTGTCTTATATAAAAGTCCGAAGAATGCCAAATCTTCACTCTCCTAGCCACAATAAATCAGAAGGAATTCTGACTGAAACATTTAGTGATGTTTTGAATCTGGCACTAAAACCTTCATCAAGTGGTATCGCTAATATAAAAGTATGAAATTTTTCTACCAATTTAAAGACAACATCCCTGCCAGAGTAGTATTTTAATGACCAAACATCACACTCATTTCTGGAAGTGCGTCCAATATAACGAACTTAGAAGAAACATGAATATATTGAACAGCACATTAAGCTTCACAATTCTAAATCATTGCCTTCTCAAAAAGTAAATTATCTGAACTTCCCGTATATATAGAAAAAAAGTCTTTTTCTAAACTCATCAAAAATCTGATAAAAAGAATGACTTACCTCCATTTTCAAAATTCTCAGTATCAGTTTCCAGATTACCAAGAGTCTTGTTTTGCATCTGCAGAACTTTATCACTGACCTCTTGCAGCAAATGCTCAGCAGCATGGGTGAATGTCATTTCCTTATTATTTAACCAATGTAACACAAAATTTGGTTCATTATGTGCTCCACTCAAACTTGGTACTAATGGTATATCTAAAATAAATAAGTAAACATTTCATTCAACAACATTATAGTATAATAGTTGCCTAATATACATGGCAGTATAGTTAAAAGTAATTTACATTTATTATGTATTAGATGTCGAGTACACAGAGCCTACTTCTAAACTGATATTAGCATAAAATTAGAATTACAAATGAATTTAAGAAAGAATAAACTTTGCTTTTAGCAAACATTATATTTTTTTAATCTGCTAGAAGAAATTTCAGCCCCTTTTAATTCTGTTCATTTATGTATAATGAAAATGTCACAACAATTTCTCTCCTCACATTTTTATGTTATACTCTTTTTTAGTATCCCTTAACAGAATACTCACCTTTCTTCAAGATTTCTTTTTTTTTATTTTATGTACGTAGGTAAGTTGAAAAATAAGTTTCCCCTGTCGACTGTGGTCAGAATTGTGTATGAAAGTCAAAAAATAGAATGAGACATTAAAGATTATAACATACCTTTATTTTTCCACATAGGTTACCAAGTACATTGAGACATTTTGTCATATCGCTTGATAAGCTTCAAAAGCCCTCCAGGAAAAAATCAGGGCTTTGCATATGGAAGAAGCGTTGAACGGCTTGTTTCACTTCAGTATTGCTTCCAAAGCGCCTCCCCCCGAGATTTTTCTTCAAAGCAGGAAACAGATGGAAGTCGCTTGGTGCGAGATCAGGACTGTATGGCGGATGGTGTAGGCGCTCCCAACCAAGAGTTGCAATATGGTTTTGCATTGCCATCGCCGAATGTGGTCTGGCATTGTCATCCAACAGCAGAACGCCAGATGTGAGAAGGCCAGGCCGCTTTTCCGAATCGCCTCTTTCAATTCGACAGGATGTCACAGGAGCGCGTTAGCATTGATGGTTCCAAACTCCAAAAAGTCCAGCAACAAAATTCCTTGGGGGTGTCCCAGAAAACTGTGAGGAGCACTTTACCTGCAGAGGGAGTTTGTCTTGAATTCTTTCGGACAGGTGATACGGATGTTTCCACTCCATAGATGCGGCCTTCGATTCTGGCGTGAAATGGTGGACCCACGTTTCATCCCCTGTCACAATCCGAAACAGAAAGTCATTGCCATCTTCATGGTAACGCACGAGATGTTCCAGGCTGACCCCCATGCATTGTTCCTTGTGTGTCGAGGTCAATTGTCGGGGCACCCATCGTTCAACGCTTCTTCCATATGCAAAGCCCTGATTTTTTCCTGGAGAGCTTTTTGAAGCTTATCAAGCGATATGACAAATGTCTCAATGTACTTGGTACCTATGTGGAAAAATAAAGGTATGTCATATCTTTAATGTCTCATTCTATTTTTTGACTTTCATACACAACTCTGACCACAATCGACAGGGGTTTTTTCAACTTACCCTCGTACTGTTATAGTACATTTTTAAATTTGATTATATTTTGGTTTTTATGCATTTTTATAGCATTAAGTATTGTTTATTTATTTAGTGCATTTTATGTAATAATTTTATTATTATTATTATTTGTTTAACTGCATTTTTGGCTACTTATAGTACTTGTAAATGTTTGTGTATTGCATTTTAGTTCTCTTAATTTTGAACTGACCAAAATCTGAACTGTAAATATTTAGTACTAGAGATTTTAGCAAAAATTCTCCTAAGGGAATTTGGTGAAATTTGGAGGGTTTCTTTGCAAATTACCGACATAATGAGAGTTTTGGGAAAATGCATTTCTGAAGTAACATGGATGATTTTTCACAAACCTTCCAAAAGTGCTTATGCTTTTCCAAGAGTAATCCTACAAATATTACGGTACAAACCTGACAATCTGGCTTCAACTAATTGGAAAGCTCAAGTAACCTGAATATTTTTAAATTTTAGACGAAAACATTTCCCAAAAATTTAAATAAATTTGTAACACCATTATTGAGCTTCTTATATTATTAGCACATATGTACTGTTTCCAATGAATGCGATTAAAAGTGCTAATGAGTGTTGCTAAAGATTAGCACATATACACTGTTGCTTGGTTTTATACAAACCCATTTAATTCACGATAAATTGGTTTAATTTTTGTAAAGAAAGATGAAAGTTCCGTTTTTTTTATTGCATTGTGGAAAAATGATTAATATCTGGAACTTGCCTTTCATAGGACAGCATGCAATAGGGTAGTTTCTAAGTTACAGGATACCATCAAGAAAGACACGATGTGCCACTTTATTTGAAATGGATAAACGATGGCAATGCAGTATGAAAAACGGTGATAAACAATTTAAGCTTTTATATGCTATAATTTGTATCTGTTTGAGTGATCTTTATATTAAACTTCTGCTAGAATGATTGGAGCAAGTCTGGTGACATCTCTGCCAAATTTCATGTTTGGCAGGATTTCATAATTGAATAAAATAATTTACTTTCATGTTTAAGGCCAATGAAATATGTTGGCTTTAATATCTGAAATGCATTTCCTCCTCCCACAAGTCTTATATTATTTTTTTTTTAATATTGTTTTTATAATTTTCGTCTATTCATTTTACTTCTCTAATGTGAATTCCAATTTTTATACACTCAACAATCTGTAATTTTCGCATATACAGAACTCTGTATTTCACAAGCTTTCTGGATAGTCAAGCTTTTATTATAGCTTTAATAGAGCTGTGAGTTAGTTATATACTTCAGTTTACAGCAACCAACTGAACTAAACTGCTGCTCAGTACTTATTGCTTCAGACTTATCCCAACAAATAATTTTCATGACCTACGGTATTGCACATTCAGCCCCTTAAGGAGGAGCGCCGGAAAAACGAAGAGCAGTCACAGGACTGCACCTCGCTGAAATGGATCATCGCCACCGGCCCGCACGTTTTAAGCAGTTAAGCCTAATTTTACAAACAAAATCATATAAAATCAGTATTTTGATATTATCAATTTTTGAAGTTGCGTGTTTAACGCACTTGTTTTTAATGTGTATTAATATAAAGAATGCCACATTAATAGAAATAAATTAAACAGACAAAATACTAAAATCATAACTATACACACAGAAATAAATACTATAAACATGAAAAAAATTTACAAATACTAAATTTATAAAAAAAAAAAACTAAATATGAATTACCTGTAGGTAATTCTAATTTTAAAATTATACTGTGGGCGAAATAATTCAAAACAAGGATCGACACACAGTTTTACCTTGCACATTTCGCACTCAAAATATGTTGTTTGCTTTTGCTTTTCCTTGGTTTTAGCGCACACAATGCATCTTCTCCTAACTTTATTACCTTTTCCATCAACGTTAATTTTTGGAAACTGTCTTCCAGTTAGACGGAAAGGTGGAGCGTCTGATGATTTTGAACAAATTTTTAAGTTTTTAAGTAAGGTCTCTAAGCCATGGCTAACATAATCCAACACATATCCCAAAACTTTTTCAAAAGACACTCAGAAATATTTCAAATTCAAACCCTGTGTGACATTAGGTTTATATTAGAAAACTTTTTGTTTTTCTAAATCGAAAACAGTGTCCACGATGACCGGAAAGTGATCAAGGAAACAACCTCCACTGGCGAGATATCCATTACTGATCATGTCAATATATACATTATATATAATTACATTATACATAAAGTAAATACATTATACACCAAAATATAATGCCTGTGTCATTATACATAATGACCTATTAAATCGAGTAAGAAAAACAGAAACGCTGGCTCTTTCCTGAGAAATGCGTGCAAGACGCATTACATGTCAAGAAAGCTGATAGTCTTTCCACTTCTGCAATAATGTTGTAATGTTACTTTTTAATTAACCAAGAAAGCTTATGTTAAGTTTCAAAATAAATAGGAAAAAAAAAAAGAAAGAAAGAAAATCTTAATGAAATAAACAAAATTGCCTATTACCCTTTAATTCACAGGCACACTTATAAAGAGCCATGATTTCCATTTTGTTTATTTCAATAAATCTTTCAAAACCAAAAGCACAAAGCAGAAACTAATGCCAGTACGTGAAGGTCAAATGCCGTACGAATCAACCCATGTGAAAACAATTACCACTTAGCTCCATTTACTGGCTTTTAAAAATTCAAATAAATAGTTCCATTTTAATGTCACATATACGCGATGTTGGGCTGGTAGGAACAGAATCGTTGCGGCGCGTATATGGGACGCTGGGCTGGTAGGAGTGGAATCATGGCGTCGCGTATACATGACGCTGGTCCTGAATGAGTTAAGAAGAATTTATCCCTATATTGTTTTTGGCTATTTATAGTTGTTTATCTTGCTGTCTGAGCTGATATTTATTTCAGCAAAATTCCAGTTTGTTCCTTTTATCTGGTACAGTTATGAAGGAGACTCTACAAAACCCTTAGTGTACAATATGTATTATAATTCAACAGTTGACTCTTCCCAGAAGCCTTCTGTGCAGGATTGCAAATGAATATACAGCTCGATTAACAAAATCATGTTACATTTCTTTTCCATATTCAGACATACAATATTCCTTGCACATTAAGAATTTATCACTATATTTTTTCTTTGGCTATTTAGAGTTATTTATCTTGCTGTCTGAGTTGATATTTATTTCAGCAAAATTCCAGTTTCTTCCTTTCATCTGGTACAGTTATCAAGGAGACTCTACAAAACTCTTAGTGTACAATATGTATTATAATTCAACAGTTGACTCTTCCCAGAAGCTTTCTGTTACAAGGATTACAAATGAATATACAGCTCGATTAAACAAAATTATGTTTCATTTCTTTTCCACGTTATGATGACTCACATTTAGCCTTTGCAGAAGATTTCATTCCATTGATTTTGGAGCCTTCTCCAATCCCCTTTAATATTATGAATAGCACTAGATTGTATATATGTACTCTATTTCATCTGTCATATTCCTTTAATGAGTCTCATTCAAAAAATAATTAGAATTATATATTAAATATTGTGAAAAGTTTTACAAAATTAAGAAAAAGATATTGGTGAATAACTTATTAGGTGGATAATTATACTTTTCAATTAACAGGGCATCACTTGTTGCTAAATGTTAATGTTGGCATAAAATCTAACTAGAGATAATGACCACTCAATATGTTGATATATATAACTTTATCAGAAGAATGCCCACCTTATAAAACCCAAAATAAAATGCACAGATACAAACAGAAATTCACAAATATGATGGTCTGTAATAGTAGTTATACAATGATTCATACTTAGCTGCATTTGAAAGAATTCTAGCTCTGTGAGCTCTTGATACTAGAAGTAAATAAATAAGATAGATATAGAAAGCAGCATAAGTGAATTAAGTCCATCATATCTAATTTTGAATTGTCCCCCCCCCTTTTTCTGGTGTGTGTGTGTGTATATAATTTGTTTTAACGTGGACCTAAAATCCTTACTAATTTTTTTTATAAATCAGATGATGTTAAGTGAATTCCTTACCACGTTCAAAAATTTGGCAAACTCTTTTTGCATGCCATTTTGTGCAATAAACAATGATACAGGGACTCTTTCCTGCTGTTCAGAAAACAAACAGAACACAAGAGAACCAAATCCAAAATTCACTTATCACATTAATCTTAAAGAAATAGGGGGAAAAAAACAGTTACTTTCGCAAGCTAAGTTTTACTTAAAAAATAAGAAAACTGATAAATTTTGCGAAAAATTAAAAAAGTGAAAATTTCAAATTCTTACATAAAATATCATGTCTTAAAAATAAAGTAATGGAATTTGAAAGAATGATTAGAAATATTATGTAAAACTTTGAAGAACACTTGCAGTATCTTCTTTGTTAACATAAAATAATTAATCTGTTTCCTCCTCATCAATTGCACAACTTGTTTTTACTGATGGCCTAGTTGGTGAATATATAGGTAAATGTTTATAATACTGGTGACAGATGAGTGATATAAAAGACAACAAGTCAATCATGTCTTTTTGTCAGTTGCCAGCAACTCACTGACTAGAAAAGACAGGATATTATTTAAATTGATCACATGTCTCATATCTTCCTGGTGATTTTTTCTCCAATGAAACAGTTTCAAAGGAAATGAAATCATCGAAAGGAATTTTTAACTTAAAAGAGATTGGTGACCCTCTCTCGTATCTCATTCACTAAAAATTTAACCAGCTAACATCCTTTTTAAATACAGTCCCTCCCCCCATCAGTTACACAATTTTGAAGAGATTTAGTACTAAAAAAATTCTTCTCTTTTCAAGACCTTAACTTCAAATGCTAAATATCTAAGTTTTCATTCTCTCACTATTTTGACTCAATCTTCTGGTAAGTATATTTTATTGTTTTGGGGTGCGTTTTTCAATTATTCCAAAATCCCCCTGATACCTAACACTAAAAATTTACGGTCAATGGTTTTCACAGCCATGCCCTTATTGTGTCTGAGTTTCATAAAAATCATTGTCGATTCATTGCCAATCATAGATACTGCAGTTCTGATCACTGCATGAATCAAAATACAAAATGATGTCTTCTTGGGTTGCTGCATGTGCTTGGAAGTGTTTCATCAAGCATGATGCTAAATCTTGGAAATCTCTGCTTCCCTCAGTTGTATTCTACATAAAAATAAACGAGTTACTCAAATTGAAAAAAAGTATCCTGAAATTGTATAAATTTCTTTTGTAATATGGAGTTGATGTGGTCAATTTTGGGAATAGCAATAACTTTTATGAGTTAAAAGTTGCTGTCTAGGTGTTGGTAGAGATGAGCAACTGATCAACGTCTGTGGGATGCCCTAGCTTGGTCTGCTTTTGCCAAATGAATTTGTTTTCCAATCAGTAAAATATTTTTAATATTTTCATTTTGTTCACAGTTAATTTTCATTTGAAGTTTGTTACAAATCTGACAGGCATTCATAGCTGGTGGTTTAAAATGCACTGAACACATTAAAATAAAACTTTTCTTAGACTCAAATTGCTTTTGCCTTGATTTTTCTACATACATTTCATACATTTTGTGAAATGTCAGGTCACAGTATAGGTATTTTTTGTTTGGATTATCTTTCTAAGTATAATGACTTTGAACAACTGGGAAGAACTTAATATGATCAATGACATCTTGATCATTGATTGTATTAGAAGGAATTCCTCTACTGTCAATAACAGCAAATATTTCTTCTTAAGTAAAGAAAGAAGGCTGAGAAGAAGACAGAGAAGGCTAAGAGAAAGTAGACTAAGAAATACACTTCTCCTTGCATTCAGTGAAAAATTCAAATGAGATTTGCTTTGGTCATGAAATCTGCATACTGCTTGCAACAGGCTAACAAATAAATAAAATAAAATAAAGGTGATAATGATTATTTTATTTGGCAATGAACTGAATCACCAAACAACAATGGGAATTCGTAGACGATAATCAGGTTATAAAGTACTAGTATTATGTTATCGTCTGGGAGAACAGACTTGGTTCACTTGTGCTCAATGAATAGAAAACAAGAGTCTAAGGACTTGATATGTGCTGCTATCTTGCGACATTAAAATCAGCTAAGGACTTGATTCACTGTAGCACTGAAAGATATTACTTTCATGAATGTTTATCATGGAAAACCTCACTAAGTGAAAAAATTGGACTTGTTCACTTCAGCTCTGAACCCTGCATATCAGAAACTGAATGCCAACTCCTTTGAACCAGTTCACTGTGTAAACTTTCTTTTTGCCATCTTTCCTGCAGCATAATTTCAATAATCTTTAACAGTAAAATATGTTTCTGTTTTATTATTTTCCAAATAAAGTATTTCAGTGTGGACAGCAGTTTTGTCATAATCCATCATCATTTGACAATTATTCAGTCATGAGATGTAACCCATATTAATTTTTTTCAAATCAACACTTGAACAAAAAAGCAATAAAAATGTTGAAGGAAAAATTAGTTTACTGATATTCACTCTTTTTGCTTATTCTTAAGAATGTTATTGAACAGCTAATTTAACTACTCAAGAAATAAAATAAACAACTTCCATGTTTGGCACTTTTGTACACAACTGGCACCGTCAACTAAAAATATGAAAAAAATGATAAAACCTAACTCTAAACTAGATATTCTCTACGTAAGTTTAATCCAGAGAATATTCTATATGTCAAAGAGTAGCATTAGCAACTACTCGTGTATTTAACACTATGAAAGATCTGAAATATATAGAGAGAGAAAATCCACAGTCATTCCTAAAAAAAGTCACAATTTTATTTTTAATTTCTTACTCAATCACATATAACTGAAATACACAAATATTAGTTATATTATTAGTTATTATTAGATTACAGAATTACTATTTTTCATGCTTGTTCTAATCTATAACCTAATTAAAATAGTTTTCACATGTTGAAAGCCCTTGAGAGCTTTTACAAAGTATAAGGCATCCCAACAAAAGCACCAGATTTAATATGTCCAATAAAATACTTTATTTTCAGAAAATGGAATATATCTTTACAGGCTTACAACATGTAAATATTCCAATTTAAGCATAAAAAATAAGGTATGGCTTATGTCTTCTTCAATTTGCTTTGCATCCTTACACTCCCTCAATGAAATTTGTAATTACTTTCTCACATATCTACTATATCAAGATGGCTAATACCAAGGTTACGTATTAAGGCTGTCAATGATGCATTCAGTTTTCTCTTTGAGGTCTTTTCTTAGTTCTCTTAAAGTTCAGAACTTTCAGGAATAATATCGTAATGCATAATTTCAACAAACCAACTGGATCAAGAGGGTTGTGATTTAATGTCTCCTGTGCCCTGAACTTGTGCCCTCAGATTTTGTTATCACTCTATGAACTGTTGTTTCGTTAGATGCACTTTCATTTCCAAAGATTGCACAAGACTTTCTAACAGTCTTCGCATAACACTCGCCATTCTTTTAATGAGTTTTCACAATCAAAATTTGCTGTTCTTTGTGTAGAATGTGCAAATATCAACTAAGCTGCAATGACGATACAACATACAATGCTAGTAATTCTTGAATTGGAACATTAACCTGTCATAAGCATGTAAAAATATTTTTCATTTCCTAAACATAAGCACTTTTTGGGGTGTATTAAATCTGGTGCTTTTGTTGCAGTACTCTACAGTTTCAATACATTTATATCAGTTAGATTCAATGTATCAAAAAGAAAGAAAGAAAAGAAAATTACCCACCATTTTCTGCATTAATGCTTCCAGCTAAATGAAAATGTAAACTTGGTGTTACACCAGAACCTTGAATACCAAAACTATGAAAATCGTGTACACTATATGTACTAGGAAGAACAGCAATAAGTTCATGAGGATCTTCTGTAAACTGACTAGCTTGATGTTTCTTAAAGTGATTAAATGATCTATAAAAACAAAAGCTTTGATATATATAAGAAAAAAAGACATTTTTGCAGTTTACAAATATTTAAACATTTAATTATCAATATTAAATTCAATTTGTTTGATTATGTATTAAAAGAATACAATCAAGTAGCCAGCTAGTCCTTTTACTCAATGATGAAAAATTACACAGGATTTGTACAAATTTCTGCACATGGAAATTAAGTACTTTTAAGGAGCATTAATGAAAACATTAAGGACTTATGAGCAAATGCGAACTGAATAAATTCAATTAAAAATATTATCTATGCCTGAATTTCACTTTTATACTACCATCCTAAAAATAAAATAGGTCCCTAAGTAGTATGCATTATTACTAAACATGAATTAACATAATTACTAATAAGTTTGAGAATAAAATAAACTTTATGCAATTTGTCAAGTAGCATTAAATATTTTACACTTATAATAGTTGGACATATTTGAAAGAAGATAAGTGACATCTACGTTTCACTAACAGTTAGCTTTGTGTTGATTTTTTTTAATGTCTCATTTTGTCACATACTTGGTCAGTCTAAAGCTTTAGTAAGTAGCAGGTAGATTTTATGTCAAATGGCATAGGTTAAAATGAGAAGTAAGATCATAATCAGCAAGATTCAGAACAAAAGATTGAATGTTGTCACTACTGCTGCTTGTCTAGAGAGAAACCTGCTGATTAGAACAAACCTGAAAAGCCTGATGTAGGCATGGTTGGCAAGTGTTGAAAGTTAGTTAGGCTTTGTTTGATGCAGTTAATATTGTAGCTTCATGTAGAGTTCCAGGGGTTGTAACCCAGTTAATAAACTTTAAGGTTCCAATAAGCCATTAAAGCACCAGAGGTGATAAGTTGTTTTGTATTATTTTAAGTTGAACTAGATGCTTCTTGCATCTTATTCTTTATAAGTTTGCAACTTTTTAAGTTTACAACTTATTCTTTATAAGTTTTACTTGAATTTTTAAATTTTTGTGTTTTATCTTGTGACCACAATGGGTATTAATGAAAGGCAATAACTCACTTATATGTAGAGAAAATTTTAAGAGTAAGCAGTTAGTTATAAATAATTAAATTAGGTAGTTAGATAACCTCAGTCATTATGGACTTACATGGCCACTATTAAATTTTATTTTTTAACAATATTTGTTAAATATTAAATTATTATAGCCCTATTAAAAATCAAATAAAATTTCCCAGTTTAAAATATATGTAATTTATGACATTGATTCTTAAATTATATTAGGATAATTATGCATTAAAAACTACAAAAAATTTATGTTTTGTAACAAAACCACTCAAAATATTTATCAGTCATTTTAATTTGAAGCCTTCCCAAACATTTTGGCTAGTTTATATTGATTTCCTTATCTTTAAGCATCTTTCCTAAGAATCAGAGATTTATCTCAATATGCAAACTAATGCTCTCGCTAATTTCTGCCTGATTTATCTTCTAACTTATCAACCTCTCTACAATGTACCTATGAGGGTTTACTTGATCTGGTAAAAGTTAAATAGTCCAAAACGTCAGACATACATGAAGCAAATTACCGCTATGTCTGAAAATAACTACAATATCAGATGAAGATTTAAATAAGCCTTTTATGTAAAAAGAGCTTAGAACATGAAGGCATGTTCTGTGCTAGCAAAATAAGTTACAGCTCATGGGGACGTAATTAAACACAAACAGTCAAATTCAAATTTTAAAATGTGGACTAGTGGTCAAAGATTATACAATTCAATTTTAATTTGATCTGGCCCAATAACTCTATTATATGAGGAAATAAAAATTATAGTAAAGGCTGAAATCATAAACAATTGGGTAATTTACATAATAATAACTGCACATATCTTTGAAGAGTAATTTTCTTTATGTATTTAGTTTCTTTCTTCAACACGTTTCCTTTTCCTTTTAAAATTTTTGGATTTAATTACGGATCTCTGTTATCCTAAAAAACACTAAATGCATTTAGAATGTACAGAAAAAGTGGCTAATTTTATTTCTTTAGTAATATGAACATTCAAAAGGAATATGAGATATATATGTTAAAGGGCGGTTACAGAGTTGGTGTGGCAGAATTTTTAGAATTTAGTGACACACTGAACAACAAAATCTAGAAATGGCAAAACTTTTAGAATTTAGAGCAGGCATTGGAAGACTGAATTTAGAAAGGCACTAAGGCAGCAGAATTTAGGCTCCACAGAGATTGCATCAGGTGGGAAATGCCTAGCACCAAGCTCTGTGTATGATGCATTAAAACATATTAGATGAATCTTTTAAATTATAAATTTTCAATTTCTTTATTAATAAAAAAATCCCTTTTTGTAATGCCTGCCCATGTGATAAGATTAGTAGCATTTTTGATAATTCCCATGCTTGTGTCTAGTGAAAAGTAGAGCAAATAAAGGGAAGATAAACATGCTAAGAAAAAAATTCTAGTATCAGACATAAAACATTCAAATATTATGTTTTCATTGTTCTTCCAGACGTTCTCCGAAAAGTAAAAATTCATCTCAAACTTTCTGTAAAATACATCCATTACGTGTTGATACCATGGAGACATTTTACATTTTGTCACATATTTTCCAAATCTTCTATAATCATGGGTCTATAAATCTTGCCTTCAAATCCTTCTAAACTTCCCAAGCTGCAATGTCTAAAATCCTACAGACAAATTATCCCTACCAATTCTGTAACAGCAAAAAGCTGGAAATATTTTGAAAAAAATCTGATGTGTACACCACATGATTTCCTTGCATTGGAATATTAAATTCAAATATTAAATTATACGCATTTTTTCTTGCATTTCATTTAAACTTATTGGATTGAATTAAATCTACTTTGCCGACAGCGCATAAAGCACAATAGAATAAATGCATTCTTTAAAATTCACTCTAGTATTTGTTTACCATAGCGACAATCTGGCGCTAGATTCACTTAGCAGTATTAATAATTATATAACAGTTAACTTATATAATAAGTTTATAACGGGTTAACTGTTATATAATCCAATAATTATTTAATAATTTCGTTCATACTTATAAACTCATAATGCACACAAAACTTTATCATTTAATTATCTATAATGCCACGTTCTATTCAAATACTATAATAAAGCTGATGTATAAAAAAATTAAGAAAAAAGAAAATTTTTTCACAGAAAATTCAGTTCTTTCGCGAGAAGCAAAAATACACAAAAACTCAAAATAATATTAAAAATTACGAAGCTAAAACACTTATCTCCTCGAAAAAATTCCAGAAAGGATTAAGCATGATTTAATTGGCAATAATAAATGAAGGCGTTATTTTTGTTGTTGCGAAGCTAAGTTTCTCTAGATTGGCAACAAATCCACTAGTCTCCTGTTTCAAATGTAAACATCAATGGCCGCCATTAAAAAAGGCTTAGCGGCAATTGAGCAACTTTAAAATTGCTGAGAATTCTAAAAATATTGCACACAGATTTACTAAAGGCATAAAATCCTTAACCGGAAGATAAAAACAACATAATTCAATCATTTTTAAAGCAAAAAATGTACAATTTACCAACATATAAGAGTAAAGAAACTGAGATCACTGAGCCGGGTAACAGAGTGGATATATATATAAATATATTTATATACGTTTGGTGCGGCCGATTGCAACCAAAATACGAGGTGCACATCTAAATGTTATAGCAGTCCTATGTACAAAATTTCAATGTTCTGAGGCTACTCGTTTTTGAGTTATGCGAGATACGTACGTACACACGTTCGTACAGACACCACGAAATATTCTCTTCAGAATTCATTTTAAAGCAGTTTTATAATTTTTTCGAAGGAAAAGAGTATTTTATTCTGTCCTTACGTACAGATATCGCGCAAAAACATCATTAAATTGCATTCGATAGCGGTCAAAATGGATATTTTCATTGAAATATGCTGCCTGAAACTTTTCGCGATTACAATACTTCCTTTTTACTTCGTACAAGGAAGTAAAAAAAAGTAGGGAAAAAGTGTAAAATTAATTTTATAGAGAAAAGTGGTGCATATTCTGCGAAGTTTGAATATTCTGAAACAATTACATTGGAAAAACTCTTACTATGAAAAATTAAAAAGAATACATTTTTAATTAATTACATAGTTCATTTTGCTTTTGCTAAGAGCTGTTTCGTAAATTGTGCTTTACAGCATTATACCTTGTTTATTTTTCAGATTCAAAATATTGTATAATAAGTTGCCAAAATGAAACTTTATAATATGACAGCAAAAAATAAAAATGTTTTACTTTAATGTTATTTTTTTAATATAATTTCAATATATTACCATTATTTTAATGAAATTTATCAATGTTACGACGTTTAAAAAAAAATCTCCAAAAAATTCCCAGATCTCGGAATTAAACATTTTCTATAGAAACTTATCTTAAAATCACCAAAATGTTGATAAGTTGCCAAATTTAGAACCGTTTGATAAAAGAATTCACATCCTCAAAAGCGAAAAGTTGTTTAAGAGCTCTTTATTAAAAAAAATTAATTTCAAAATGCTTATGTTTCCCTTCTTGCTTAGAAACTCGAGTATCTCATCATTTATATTAGAAACAAATTATAACCCATGAACCCATTCAAAAGATAACCATATATGTCAGTGAATCGTTAAAAAATATTCCTCCAAAATGCTAATTCACACTCAAAATAACAGACAGAAATTTCAGATGATTAAAATTAAGGACTTTCTGCTGATTTTGGCCAAAATTAAGGACTTTTAAGGACTAAAAATCAATTCCAAGAAATCTAAGGACTTTTAAGGACTCTTAAGGAGCGTACGCATGTTTCACAAGTGCACATCTGTGTAGCCACCGAGGGAGTGGTTTCTAGGATGGATCAATGGGTACCCAGTAATATTTCTGTCATGTCACATGACCTTTCGCATGCTTTAAGATTTAAGCAAGATGGTTGAAAATATTCTGCCATGCAGTTTTTTGTACAAAATAATTAAAGCATCATCGATTTCTTC